CAGTCTTTTCGTAAGTTGCGCCGCCAGTCTTTTCGTAAGTTGCGCCGCCAGTCTTTTCGTAAGTTGCGCTGTCAGTCTTTTCTTAAGTCGCGCCGTCAGTCTTTTCGTAAGTTGCGCCGCCAGTCTTTTCGTAAGTTGCGTCGTCAGTCTATTCGTAAGTTGCGCCGTCAGTCTTTACTTAAGTCGCGCCGAAATGTGCCACCCGGGTTGAGGTCAGCGACTTAAGAAAAAACTTTGCCCTGCATACCGTTTTGAGACTGAATTTTTCGTAAGTTGCGCCTCTTAATTCTTTTCTTAAGTCGCGGCGTCGGTCTTTTCGTAAGTCGCGCCTTCAATTCTTTTCTTAAGTCGCGCCGTCAGTGTTTTCTTGACTTGCGCCGCTTAAGTCTTTTCTTAAGTCGCGTCGCTTAAGTCTTTTCTTAAATTGCGCCGTCAGTCTTTACTTAAATCGCGCCGTCAGTTTTTTCGTAAGTTGCGCCGCCAGTCTTTTCGTAAGTTGCGCCGTCAGTCTTTTCGTAAGTTGCGCCGTCAGTCTTTACTTAAGTCGCGCCGTCAGTCTTTTCGTAAGTTGCGCCGCCAGTCTTTTCGTAAGTTGCGTCGTCAGTCTATTCGTAAGTTGCGCCGTCAGTCTTTACTTAAGTCGCGCCGTCAGTCTTTTCGTAAATTGCGCCGCCAGTCTTTTCGTAGGTTGCGTCGTCAGTCTATTCGTAAGTTGCGCCGTCAGTCTTTACTTAAGTCGCGCCGTCAGTCTTTTCGTAAGTTGCGCCGCCAGTCTTTTCGTAAGTTGCGCTGTCAGTCTTTACTTAAGTCGCGCCGTCAGTCTTTTCGTAAGTTGCGCCGCCAGTCTTTTCGTAAGTTGCGCCGTCAGTCTTTTCGTAAGTTCCGCCGTCAGTCTTTACTTAAGTCGCGCCGTCAGTCTTTTCGTAAGTTGCGCCGCCAGTCTTTTCGTAAGTTGCGCCGTCAGTCTTTACTTAAGTCGCGCCGTCAGTCTTTTTGTAAGTTGCGCCGCCAGTCTTTTCGTAAGTTGCGCCCCCAGTCTTTTCGTAAGTTGCGCTGTCAGTCTTTACTTAAGTCGCGCCGTCAGTCTTTTCGTAAGTTGCGCCGCCAGTCTTTTCGTAAGTTGCGTCGTCAGTCTATTCGTAAGTTGCGCCGTCAGTCTTTACTTAAGTCGCGCCGTCAGTCTTTTCGTAAGTTGCGCCGCCAGTCTTTTCGTAAGTTGCGCCGCCAGTCTTTTCGTAAGTTGCGCTGTCAGTCTTTTCTTAAGTCGCGCCGTCAGTCTTTTCGTAAGTTGCGCCGCCAGTCTTTTCGTAAGTTGCGTCGTCAGTCTATTCGTAAGTTGCGCCGTCAGTCTTTACTTAAGTCGCGCCGAAATGTGCCACCCGGGTTGAGGTCAGCGACTTAAGAAAAAACTTTGCAAGTCGCGCTGCATACCGTTTTGAGACTGAATTTTTCGTAAGTTGCGCCTCTTAATTCTTTTCTTAAGTCGCGGCGTCGGTCTTTTCGTAAGTCGCGCCTTCAATTCTTTTCTTAAGTCGCGCCGTCAGTGTTTTCTTGACTTGCGCCGCTTAAGTCTTTTCTTAAGCCGCGTCCCTGAAGTCTTTTCTTAAATTGCGCCGCCAGTCTTTTCGTAAGTCGCGCCGTCAGTCTTATCTGAATTCGCGCCGCTTAAGTCTTTTCTTAAATCGCGCCGTCAGTTTTTTCGTAAGTTGCGCCGCCAGTCTTTTCGTAAGTTGCGCCGTCAGTCTTTTCGTAAGTTGCGCCGTCAGTCTTTACTTAAGTCGCGCCGTCAGTCTTTTCGTAAGTTGCGCCGCCAGTCTTTTCGTAAGTTGCGTCGTCAGTCTATTCGTAAGTTGCGCCGTCAGTCTTTACTTAAGTCGCGCCGTCAGTCTTTTCGTAAATTGCGCCGCCAGTCTTTTCGTAGGTTGCGTCGTCAGTCTATTCGTAAGTTGCGCCGTCAGTCTTTACTTAAGTCGCGCCGTCAGTCTTTTCGTAAGTTGCGCCGCCAGTCTTTTCGTAAGTTGCGCTGTCAGTCTTTACTTAAGTCGCGCCGTCAGTCTTTTCGTAAGTTGCGCCGCCAGTCTTTTCGTAAGTTGCGCCGTCAGTCTTTTCGTAAGTCGCGCCGTCAGTCTTTTCGTAAGTTGCGCCGCCAGTCTTTTCGTAAGTTGCGCTGTCAGTCTTTACTTAAGTCGCGCCGTCAGTCTTTTCGTAAGTTGCGCCGCCAGTCTTTTCGTAAGTTGCGCTGTCAGTCTTTTCTTAAGTCGCGCCGTCAGTCTTTTCGTAAGTTGCGCCGCCAGTCTTTTCGTAAGTTGCGTCGTCAGTCTATTCGTAAGTTGCGCCGTCAGTCTTTACTTAAGTCGCGCCGAAATGTGCCACCCGGGTTGAGGTCAGCGACTTATGAAAAAACTTTGCAAGTCGCGCTGCATACCGTTTTGAGACTGAATTTTTCGTAAGTTGCGCCTCTTAATTCTTTTCTTAAGTCGCGGCGTCGGTCTTTTCGTAAGTCGCGCCTTCAATTCTTTTCTTAAGTCGCGCCGTCAGTGTTTTCTTGACTTGCGCCGCTTAAGTCTTTTCTTAAGCCGCGTCCCTGAAGTCTTTTCTTAAATTGCGCCGCCAGTCTTTTCGTAAGTCGCGCCGTCAGTCTTATCTGAATTCGCGCCGCTTAAGTCTTTTCTTAAATCGCGCCGTCAGTTTTTTCGTAAGTTGCGCCGCCAGTCTTTTCGTAAGTTGCGCCGTCAGTCTTTTCGTAAGTTGCGCCGTCAGTCTTTACTTAAGTCGCGCCGTCAGTCTTTTCGTAAGTTGCGCCGCCAGTCTTTTCGTAAGTTGCGTCGTCAGTCTATTCGTAAGTTGCGCCGTCAGTCTTTACTTAAGTCGCGCCGTCAGTCTTTTCGTAAATTGCGCCGCCAGTCTTTTCGTAGGTTGCGTCCTCAGTCTTTACTTAAGTCGCGCCGTCAGTCTTTTCGTAAGTTGCGCCGCCAGTCTTATCGTAAGTTGCGCTGTCAGTCTTTACTTAAGTCGCGCCGTCAGTCTTTTCGTAAGTTGCGCCGCCAGTCTTTTCGTAAGTCGCGCCGTCAGTGTTTTCTTGACTTGCGCCGCTTAAGTCTTTTCTTAAGCCGCGTCCCTGAAGTCTTTTCTTAAATTGCGCCGCCAGTCTTTTCGTAAGTCGCGCCGTCAGTCTTATCTGAATTCGCGCCGCTTAAGTCTTTTCTTAAATCGCGCCGTCAGTTTTTTCGTAAGTTGCGCCGCCAGTCTTTTCGTAAGTTGCGCCGTCAGTCTTTTCGTAAGTTGCGCCGTCAGTCTTTACTTAAGTCGCGCCGTCAGTCTTTTCGTAAGTTGCGCCGCCAGTCTTTTCGTAAGTTGCGTCGTCAGTCTATTCGTAAGTTGCGCCGTCAGTCTTTACTTAAGTCGCGCCGTCAGTCTTTTCGTAAATTGCGCCGCCAGTCTATTCGTAAGTTGCGCCGTCAGTCTTTACTTAAGTCGCGCCGTCAGTCTTTTCGTAAGTTGCGCCGCCAGTCTTTTCGTAAGTTGCGCTGTCAGTCTTTACTTAAGTCGCGCCGTCAGTCTTTTCGTAAGTTGCGCCGCCAGTCTTTTCGTAAGTTGCGCCGTCAGTCTTTTCGTAAGTTCCGCCGTCAGTCTTTACTTAAGTCGCGCCGTCAGTCTTTTCGTAAGTTGCGCCGCCAGTCTTTTCGTAAGTTGCGCCGCCAGTCTTTTCGTAAGTTGCGTCGTCAGTCTATTCGTAAGTTGCGCCGTCAGTCTTTACTTAAGTCGCGCCGTCAGTCTTTTCGTAAGTTGCGCCGCCAGTCTTTTCGTAAGTTGCGCCGCCAGTCTTTTCGTAAGTTGCGCTGTCAGTCTTTTCTTAAGTTGCGTCGTCAGTCTATTCGTAAGTTGCGCCGTCAGTCTTTACTTAAGTCGCGCCGTCAGTCTTTTCGTAAGTTGCGCCGCCAGTCTTTTCGTAAGTTGCGCCGCCAGTCTTTTCGTAAGTTGCGCTGTCAGTCTTTTCTTAAGTCGCGCCGTCAGTCTTTTCGTAAGTTGCGCCGCCAGTCTTTTCGTAAGTTGCGTCGTCAGTCTATTCGTAAGTTGCGCCGTCAGTCTTTACTTAAGTCGCGCCGAAATGTGCCACCCGGGTTGAGGTCAGCGACTTAAGAAAAAACTTTGCAAGTCGCGCTGCATACCGTTTTGAGACTGAATTTTTCGTAAGTTGCGCCTCTTAATTCTTTTCTTAAGTCGCGGCGTCGGTCTTTTCGTAAGTCGCGCCTTCAATTCTTTTCTTAAGTCGCGCCGTCAGTGTTTTCTTGACTTGCGCCGCTTAAGTCTTTTCTTAAGCCGCGTCCCTGAAGTCTTTTCTTAAATTGCGCCGTCAGTCTTTACTTAAATCGCGCCGCCAGTCTTTTCGTAAGTTGCGCCGTCAGTCATTTCGTAAGTTGCGCCGTCAGTCTTTACTTAAGTCGCGCCGTCAGTCTTTTCGTAAGTTGCGCCGCCAGTCTTTTCGTAAGTTGCGCCGTCAGTCTTTTCGTAAGTTGGGCCGTCAGTCTTTTCGTAAGTTGCGCCGTCAGTCTTTTCGTAAGTTGCGCCGCCAGTCTTTTCGTAAGTTGCGCCGTCAGTCTTTTCGTAAGTTGCGCCGTCAGTCTTTTCGTAAGTTGCGCCGTCAGTCTTTTCGTAAGTTGCGCCGCCAGTCTTTTCGTAAGTTGCGCCGTCAGTCTTTACTTAAGTTGCGCCGTCAGTCTTTTCGTAAGTTGCGCCGCCAGTCTTTTCGTAAGTTGCGCCGCCAGTCTTTTCGTAAGTCGCGCCGTCAGTCTTATCTGAATTCGCGCCGCTTAAGTCTTTTCTTAAGTCGCGCCGTCAGTCTATTCGTAAGTTGCGCCGTCAGTCTTTACTTAAGTCGCGGACCTCGATCCGGAGCAGTTGCAGTAAAATTAAGAAAAACGGAACGTTAAAAAATGGCAACCTAATTTTTAGTTTTCATATGGATTATTATGTAACCATTGTGTGTTTTACATGAACAGCGTTCGTCTGAATCAGTTTGTGGAGGCGTTGGATGTGCATGAAACTACTCCTGTCCATTTGGCATTCAGAATGCGACGCAAAGAGTACTTGGCCCTGTTCTTCGACAAAGTTCACTCCTCCTTCTTCGAACGCAACCTCTCTCTTCTGGATGAGGCCATCAACTACAAAGACAAGTGAGAAAACAAACTCACCTTCATTAGAATTAGTTGTTCCGACCTCCTACCTAAAGGGATGGGAAGGAACTATGGATTAGATTGTTCATCCGCCTTTTTGACTACCTCAAAGAATGCTCACAGGAGTCAAATGTGGTATCCTATTAAGGCACTTTTGGCCGCGCTTTGGATTCAAAAAAAAATATTCCATTTTGCAGCGTTATAACTAAATCGAGCGTAAAAATTATTTTTTGGTAAAAGTTAAGAAAACTTTGATTGGTTTTTTTTGACTTTTTTTGCCGTTCTCAATGTAAATTTTTGTGATTCAAAACATTCTATGCTATGCGCTTAAAACTTATAATATTTTTTCCAGTTCGCAGTTATTTCATTAAAACTTAAATTTTCTGAAAAAAATTATTGCTTAGGTTATTTTTGAGAAACTGGTATGTTTGAAACACTTGGAGAAATTCATAACACAAAAAAGTCCCCTAAATTTTTTGCGATTCTGCCAAAAATCCGTCCGCCCGTGGTTTATATCAAAGCAAAAGCTTTTTCTTCTGCGTATAGGGTGTATGTGAGAGAGATGTTCATGCACCAATTAGAGTTTGGATCGAAGATAGCGAGTATCTCATTCGACCTGCTGGCGAGGATGATCTACCGCACGAACGACTTCTACAGCACCTTCAATTGGAACGTGAAGACGTGGGTTCCTCTGGTGTCCAAGCTGCTGCCTCACGATACCACTATCATCTACAAGTACGGACAGTGTGTCAGGATAGACACACGGTACAGGTACGACATTTTTGGTGCAGTGCTCTGGCCGAGATTGTGGTGTTGTGATTATGGAGTGCGGTCAAAAAGCAGACAACCTTTGTTGCATATCAAACCGATCAAAAAGTAGACAAATACTATATTAACCAATCAGAATCGAGTGCAGAAAGCAAATTCTGATTAATATAGTATTTGTCAACTTTATGATCGATATGATATGAAACAAAGGTTGTCTACTACTAAATGACATAGGAATTAAATAATTGTTAATTATTTATTTCCTAGGTTTGCTAAGTGTGTCTTCTTTATGACGTGTCTACTTTACGACTTGTCTACTTTTTGCTACGTAACCTATGATTATAGACTACCGCGACCGAATTGAATTTGATAAGAGGTTGCAATGTCATGTCTCTAATCGTCACATCATTAATTTTATGATCGAAAGACTCTAAGCTCAGACCCTGCATGAAAGTTAACACATAACGTTTTTTTTCTAGTCCGAATTTGTTGTAAAAATGTAGGTAACTTTTGTGGAAATTTTTGATGTTTCGGGTTCTTTCATCAAAAAAAAGTTGTGACTAAAGTCGCGATTGTTTTTTAATTTTTTTTCGAAGTTTTCTTATCATATTATAAAACAAACAAAATCTTTTTTGGGCGTTGTGGAAAGGAATCATTTGACGACCAGTAAAAAATGATACCAGCTGGTATATTTTTTTTATATGAGCGCATGTATTTTATTAACTTAATCTTTTTTCCATGTAGAGTGCTGGGCGTGAAAATTCCCAAGGTCAACGGACACACCTCCATCCTCTACAACCCAGAAGTGTTTGATGACAAGATGGTGGTGATCGACAGGGTCAAGAACCTCTACATGTACCTAACGAAGGCAGAGATCATCTCCAGTTTTATCCAATCTAACTTCGGGTTTAATATGAGAAGAAAAACTGAGTTTGGTTATACTTTATAGAGGTCATTTTCGAAAGCACTTTGAATATGTTTTTGGAAATCAATTTTAACTGATTTTTATCAAAACGGAAAATTAAGAAGTAAATACACTTCTGACATAAAAACAACCAATCCTTTCGCTAAAGCATGTCTCACGAAACTATGGCAAAAACTGTTTCAAAAGTGGTGTTTTGGATTGAACAAGCTACTTTTTACTCTTCTACCGCCCCCTTCCACCTGTTTTTTTTTAAATTAATTAAAATTACATAATCTATACCCGATTAATTTGAAAATTGGCTTGAAAGGTATAATTACCAAATACAGAGCAGATTTGGGGTTTATCTACAGCCTTGTAAAATCAACGATGCACGTCACAAATTTTTTTTCGGTGGGTTGGTTGGGGGGCTTAATTTGGTCAAGGAGGGGGAGGGGGGCTCAACCTGTGGTGGGAGTTGGCTTTGATTGAATCTAAACAGAGAGTGTTTTTAAAACTGGAAAATGAGTGACGCTGGTTAAAAGGCGTCCTTTGAGAAGCACGGGGCACCCACTGAAAAGTGGCTGAAGAAGGAGGTGGAGGCAATTATGAAGAAGGGCGAATTGTCTGCCGAATTAGACTGGAAAAGCATCCAGTTCAAGCCAGAGAACAAAAAAGGAAAACAGAAGGAGAAAGTGGTGAGATATATTTTGGAAAAATTCAATTTACGTTTTTTGTACTTTTGATTTTCCAAAGCCCTTGCCCAAACGTTATAACCCTTTCCATTTTGACCTGTGATCGCCATTTGCTGTGGAAGTACACAGAATAATAGACTTCAGTAAAAAAAACTAAAAAATTCATTTTTTATTTTATCAAATGGTGCCGTTTTAGACCAACTGAACAATCTCACCCTCAATCAAATTAGGTAGAAGATCGTTCACTGGTTAATTGTAATATTTTTCAGCCAATCTGATTTGAGCATAGTACATGCAGACCTTACAATTGAATTTGCTATATAAATTAAGGGCTAGATTGTTCACTTGGTCTATCTAGGGGGGAGATTGCTCAAATGCACCGTCATTTCTTTAAGCGCGATGTCATGAGAGAACTATACGATCAGATAGGGCTTAAGTTTTTACTTAGTAAGTTTTCGTAAGTTTTACTAAATTAATTCTTACGTAAATTTAGTTTTGCTTAAAATTTTTTGAATATTTTTAAGAAACTTTTTATTGCCGCAAGCTTGCTAAATGAAGCTCAAAAAAATTGTTTAACAGGAGTAAGACTAAATTTTTCGCTACTTAAAAGATAACTTATTGTCTTTATGAGGACGAATTTCCTCATGGTCGGAACAATGAGGGTAAAAATGCCTAGGCGTTCAAAACTGACTTTTTCTTAACCGTTAAAAGGGTGGTAAGTCTTTCTGAAGGGTGCCTATAATATGAATCAAAAAAATTTATAGCTAACGAGAACCCTTAATTTTGTGAACAAACTATATTGGTATAGAATTTTTCCAGAACAAATCAAAAATTGTTGTTCACTGCGTTTTGCGGTTTTGTCTTTTAATTTTTTCACTGAGTGCAATTCAAATGCATTTGCTTCACACAGATAAATGAGACCATTTTTTCAAAACTTAAGGTTCTCAAAATTATCAGCGAAAAAAAATCTATCGGCTCAATTATTTCTAATTGAAACCAACGTACGAAAAATGTGTTATTCGGTAAAGACTCTTGAAATTGAAAGAAGTGGTGGATTTTTTGAAACTTTAATTCAAAAATTCGTTTAAGATGGTTGATAATGTTTTTGGACTTTGAGTTCATTGAAACTTCAGCAAATTATTAATTGCTTTGATTGTAATTGATCGCCACTTTTTAAATTTGTTAAATTATCTTTAGCAGCTTTTTTTCTTCGCTTTACTTAAAAATTTGAATCAGTAAAAAATGTAATAGCTGCAATTTAAGAGTCGATGAACGTAGTTCAGACTCTTATATTGGTCGTGATATTTTTTTCTTTCAATTTTTCTAAGAAAAGTCTTATAACACTTAATATAATAATGCATTATTGAATGCTTCTAAGTATAAATGCACTATTTGAGCCCATTTTGATTTCATCTGCGGAAAGGTAGAGGCAAGTTAAACTCTTCAATTACGAAAATGCAGGTTTTTGAAAAACTTGGTCGACTTCTATTTTCGAAAAAGGAATTTAATTTTTAAATTTTTGAGTGGAATAAAAATGTTAGATATTGATCCAGTATTGCAATTTTGTAATAATTTTAGCAAAAAAGAGTCAACCTTGAATTGTTCCTGAAATTCCAAAGACTATAAAACCACAAACTTTTCGCTTTGAAATTGTAAAGTTGAAGTTTTTTCAAAAAGCGAGTTGGTTATTCTTTTTAATTTCCGTACTTTTTTTTCTACTCTTTTCCAGCTATCTGTTGGCTATGTTTTCTTTTGAAGAGTCGGTGAACGTTGTTTACACTCTTATATTTGTCGTGATGATTTTTTGTTTGTTTGTGTTTGTTTTCCAGAAAAGTTTTAAAAATTGTTCAAGTCCAAATTTGACGTTTTGAGATTGAAAGCTTGCTTGATTTTTAAGATTTACTCTTTTTTTTTTTAATTTTGAAAAAAAAGAGAGGGAAAATCTACTTTGACACTTTTAAGATTTACTCTTTTTTTTTAAAAAAAAAGAGAGGGAAAATCTACTATCAAACGGCAAGAAGTGTCAAAGTCACGAAAAACGTGAACAACTTCTAAATAAGACAAAAAGTATTCTGCATTTTAATTTTAAACCCCAATAAATCATTCTTTAAACTTAAACATTGTAACAGGTTTTGGGTAAAAAATTTTCCTTCCATTCTATTTGATATCATATCAAACAGTTAAAACCTGTTGTAGATACAAAAAATTGGCTATTATTACAATTGGCTGCAAAAAATTTCCATTTTGCTGGCTGGGCAACAACACATCTGTGGAAACAATTTTTTAGAAAACTAATCCAGATACGAAAAATCAAAATTTTTTAGCGGATATATTGCATCGTTTTTTCAATCTTTTTCAATTGGGAAGCTTGAAGAACAATTTTTTGGGAAAATTTTGAAAATAATTTTCTTTTACACCTTCTATCAACTAATTTGGCTACTTTCAGCCGCTTCGAGGACACCTTTTTTGAAAATGCAATGATAAATTTGATTTTCGTGAATATGATTTGGTTTCAATCCAGCAATAAAAATGTTTGTTATTGTCATTCGTCAGGGACTTTTATGGTTGTTTTGAAAACAAACCTTATCAATAGTCAATTGTTAGGTTGGGAAGATAAATTTTCCCTTAAAAAAAATGGTTACGAACCTTCATTGAAAAAACTATCAAATGAGAAAGGGTGCGTATAGTTGTGCAAGAATTAGGCCGTGCAGCGTATAGTTGTGCATGAAAGAATTAGGCCGTGCAGCAAACCATCTTAACTGTTGAAACTGAATTTCAATTTTGTCAGCGAAGATATATCTCAAACCAAAGTCTCTGAATGTTAGTATATGTCATTTTACTCGCAGCAATTTTGTTTATCCAGCCCCGAACAAACTGGATTCAAGAGCTTCATGCATCAGTTTCGTTGTTTGTTTAAAAATGATACCAGTAGACAATTCATTCCATGAATTTTGACTTTTTTAATTGGGTTTTTTCCGACCTTTGTGGAAAGAATGAAAAATTGTGCTCGGTGTGGTTGTTTCACTTGAGATCATTTTTCTAAGTAATAGGGGTTCAATGAATGGCCACTTGGGATAATTATCGCGCGATATATTCCGTGCTGCTAACGCAATAGCGGAGATTGAAACGTCATGAATATTGTTTCAAGATGAACTTAGGCATACTACTTAGTCAGTTAATTACTTTGTAAAATCAAAAACATATCAGTTTGTATTTGACATAGCGTGTGGCTTAGAAAAATTCAAAAAATTTGATTCTTTTTTAAGTTACGCGTAAAATTTTTCAGAGCCAAGACTACTTCATAGACCTTAAGAGACAGTCAAAACATTCAAAGTTTCACCCTAATGCGAACAGTTTTGTTGTTCCAACGTTTGAAAAATTGGCGGAATATTTTTGCTCTCGGTGGTTATTTCAACAGACTAATTTCGACATTTTAACAACCCATTTTTGGCATAATTTAACACTATCTGAAAAATATCTATATCTTAAGCTGATGTTTGAAGATATATTTTTACCTGTGAATATTTTTCATGAAGTTACGAGGGTTTCACTTTGTAGCTTAGATAGCGTGTGGAGGAGCAGGTAATTTTCAGAAAGAACTTTTCTTTTTATTTTTTTTCGAACAATTCAGCCTTGTCTTTTATATTGAACAACATCTATAAACGGTAAGAGACCTTCAGAACATTCTTGCAATAGAGCAGTCTTCTAACACTTGCCAAAGCAATTGTCTTGTAACCGGGAACTAAACTTATTTACCGTAATCATTTTTTTTGCTTCAATATTGAACCATAACGACATCCAGGTTCTTTCCTACTTGGCCTGGAGGTTACGACATCGTCTCTGCGCCCTGAGATCCGGGGTGCAAGTCCCGGCTGAATCTTGTTATTTTCAGTACATTGAAGTTTTTTCCGATACAATTTGAATGGTCGGCATTTTGGTCGGCTAGACCTTGTTTTTTTCAGTATGTAGGAAATTGAACTTTTTCCGGTAAAAATTGAATGGTCGTTCTTTTGTTTTTTTGCTCAAATTTTTTTTAGCTCAGGTGCACAATCACGTAGTTTTCTTTGTGCTGCAAGCAAGTTTAATTGTAATTGCATGTATTGACTATTGCAGTTTCAGGAAGGACTAAATTTGTTTAAAAATTTTTATTGAAATCAAAATTTTTTTGGTTTAACTGGTATTTGCTCAAAGGTTGTCGGCTTTTTTTTCTCTTCAAAAGTTTTTTTCTGTTGCAATTTTACTATTCAAATCTATTTCTTGGCATGCTTACCTACAATGATCTTTTTGCGAGATATTTTTTCTAGGCCTAATTTTTTTTCAAGGTTTTTCAATTTTTTTGATTTCCGTTTTTTTTTGTTTCTGTTGTATCCCAAGTGGTGCGAAGCTCTGTTTGGCCCGGGTTAAAATTTGATTTTTGATTGGACGGACAATGATAGATCTTTATGGGTTTACAAACATTCAGCAATCAGAATTGATAATAAAAAAACAAACTTACACAAAAGAAATAAATAATTTTTTTTTTCGTACGTATGTTTTTCTCGTCTTGATTTTGATTGTTTAATGAGTATGTGCCTGCTTTATGACCTGTTCATTTTCGCTAAGAAGCCTTGCATCGCAAGTAACTTTTTTTTCAATACCTATTAAACAAATTCATTGACCAAATATCTAGAGAGTTTGACTTTGGTTTATTATCAAATGAAAAGAATTTAAAAATTAATCAGGCTTAATTTTTGCTCGGTACCTTTGAGTTTTTTAACTCAAACCTTAAAATTATTTTTTCAGATTCATCAATTTTTTTTTTCAATGGTGTTTCGTAAAATGGACTATCGTGCCATTAAAGTTCAACCATCAGAAAAAACCTCGAAAGCTCAATTAAAGTGAGAGATTTGGATGTTCAACAATGTAGCAATTTCACTGTAGTATCCCACCTAATAGCTGGCAATGAAATACATATTTGTTCATATCACAGACATACCCCAGCCTGATGGTAAAAATATACAATAATATGTGAAAAAGTGGCTCCAATTTTAAATTATGAAAAATTTAGTCACCTGAATTATGAATTTCCAATTCTAAAAAAATTATAAGTGATCATCTTTTTAGGTGGGGAATTACAGTGCTGATTGCTACAGTTGGTCGAACTTACGACTCACTATAACAAAACGAAAGACTTACGAGAATGACATCTCGAACTTTGAAGGAAATTTCGAGAATTACATGATGGGTGTACTTCCCGACGAGCCGGTTGAAAAACCGAAGCGGAAACAATCCGAAACAGAACTTCACGGACGAGTAGCGTTTACAAAAACATTTCCGCTTGAGTTTGCGAAACTAATCAATCTTCTAAACGTCGAATCGCCGATTATGCAGAAAGTCGCAAGCGAACTAGCCGAGTACGAGCAGCAGCCAGGAAATGTTCCGGACGGATTTCCAGTTTTTGTTGAGCTTCCAGTTGCACCTACTGCAAAGTTTTACCTGCGCATTAAAGAGTTCTCGCGTGAAATGCCAGATTTTGTGACGAGAAATAAACTTTTTTTCAAGATTCCGCTTAAAGCAAAAAGAATTTATCACTTCGATTGGTACTGAACCACTGAACTAACGTGGTGTTGGATTTCTTCATAAAAAAGTTGTACTAGGTTTTCGGAACAAACAAAAAAGAATCCTCTTTTGAGTCCTGTTTTTTTATTCAATTATGTATTTGTTTGAGCCAATCATTCCGAAGCTTACATAAAACAAAGTTTTGAAGAGATATATTTGTCGCTTATTTAATGTCAAATGTTGTCGGCAATGTCTTTTTTGGACAACAAGGAAATTGATTTAGATGAAAACTGCTCTTTTTGATGTCGTAAATTAAAGTTTCACTCATTTTGGGACGTATAAATCGTGTCAAAAATTCTGTTTACCTTAAAAAAACGTTTTGACTTAAAACTGCTTAAGGGCACCGTAACTGACAGCAATTTTGCATTAGATATCAACTGCAGAGGTGAACCTAAAAAAAGCAGGTCTAGATTTGTATTTGTGGAAAGGCTTGTAAGCATCCACGTTTTAAAAGCGCCACGTTTTAAAAACTGGCCTAAAGTTGAGAGGTTTGAGTTTTTCGAAATAGCTATTTTTTTATAAGGTGAACTGATTTATTAAGAGTAATGAACATAGTGAAGACTCTTATATAGGTCTTGATGTTTTTTTTTTCAGGAAAAGTCTAAAAGTGCTCTAATAACTACAGATGTGCATTCCTACATATTGATTCATCTATGAACGCACTTAGGTATATATGCACTCTTTGAGTTTAACTGAAATTCATCTGCTAAAAGTGACGTAAATAGCCTTCTCCAAAATCGAATGTGGAAATGGTGCGACAAAATGTGAACAATTTTTAGCTTCGAAAGTGGAATCTAACTTTTAGATTTCCAGCGGAATAAAACTTTTACCCTTTGATACAGTTTTCTCAACTTGGGTTAATGTTATCAAGAAGCGCCAATCATATATCGTTCTACAGTGCTGATTTAAATTATCCGGACAAAACGAACAAAACTTGAATTTTCAAACATGTTTTTCTCAAATTGGGTTAAGATTAGACAAAAAGTGAATAAAATAAAAGTTGCTTACAATTTCACCAGAATTAATATGGTGCCATTTTTTCTCCAAAGTTCTCAACAAAAATTTTACCCCAAAAATGGGTTATTTTGGCTTTTTTCAGTTAATCAAGAATTACGCAAAAACTACTTTGTTAATTGATAAAAAAATTTATTTCACAGGAAGTCTCTTACGCAGCCCAACAAAGTTTAAGAAGGGTTAAATCTCCAAAAACCAGTATAAAAGAAAAAAATTTCACTTGATAGTCAATAAATGTGATTTTTACTAAATAAAACCCAGAATCTCTGTTTAAAAATAAATTTTAAACAATTTGCGCAAAATTTTGGAGATTCAACCCTTCTTAAACTTTGTTGAACTGCGTAAGAGGCTTCCTGTGATATAAATTTTTTTATCAATTAACAAAGTAGTTTTTGCGTAATTCTTGATACTGTTCGTTTCCCTCGTGGATATAACTAAATAATTATGAATGAAAACGGAACTTTTTTAAGATTGGAGGGTACCCTGCCGACCGGTACAAGTGGTCAAATGTGCGACTATCTGTGAAGACGCGGAAGACATACATAAACGATCTCTCCAACTTCAACGGCAACTTCGACGAGTACATGGCGGGTCAACTACCCGAGCAACCGGTCGAACAGCCGATAGTTAAAGAGTCCGAAAAAGAATTCAGAGGACGAATAGCCTTCTCCAAGACTTTCCCGCTCGACTTTCCCGAGCTGTTGTCCCTTATAGATGTCGAGGCGCCAATGATCAGGAAAATTTTTACGGAGCTTGCGGAGTATGACAAAAATGCGGATAAATTACCGGAAGGTTTCCCAGTTTTCCTGGAACTCCCAGTAGCGCCAGGAGCGAAATTCTACCTTCGCATCACAGATTATGCGCGTGAATGCCCGGCTTATGTCGCTCAAGATGAAAATTTCTTCGTCATTCCGAAGGATGCAAGAAGAAGTTATCAATTTGACTGGTACTGAACTTGAACTCTGTAACTAAGTAGTTTCAAGGTGACTCTCATGGTATAAAAGTGTACTATATTTTGCATATATAAAGTATAGAGTGTCAATTTTTTTAAAAAAAAACACAGTCCTATGCCTCATTTTTTGCATTGCAAAACCCATGTTAACATTGAGCCAACAAAAAGAGTTCAAAACAGAGTTCTTTTAACCAATTTTTTTTTCGAAATGATGGTTCTCCAAATGAAATTCTTTGAGCAATTTATCTAAAATCATTCAAAAAAATATCTGACAAAATAAAGCTTGTTAGTGAAAGTTAAAGTCCAATAATGGCTAGAAAAAACTCTTCTTGCTCTCATTTTCTTCATCATCTTCGTCTAAATAACCAGTTCCATCGGCAAAAGCCGAACTAGAAACCAGACTCTTTTCGCCGTTCGGCGCTCTCCGAGCAGTCTCCTCGGATATTTCCCGATAATCCGAGTTTTGTCGACCTTGCCCTGCCTCGGAAATTATATTTTGAAGCAGCTCTCTTTTATTATCTTCTTTTTCGGTCACAGTTTCTTGAGTCGATTTTTCAAAAGGTTGTTCGGCGCTCGATTTTCGGGCGCCGCTGACTTGACCTGTTTCAGGTTGCCGGATCTTGATTTCCGCTTCCTTTGGCCAATTGTTGCTGTAATAAGAAGCTGTGTAAGACTCGGAGCCTTCCAAAGATAGCTTGGAACTAGTTTGCGCGCTGTCGTTTTCACCGAACTTTGGAGCACTTCTGGCAACCGGTTCTTCGCGTCGGTTTGGTTGGATTTTTCGTCTAACTTTTGGACTTCTATCTTCTGCTGTTATTTTTTGAGGTTTGTTCGCGCGAAGGGACCCGTTGCTACGGATCTTTTCTCGGTACATGTTAACTAAATTAATTTCATCCTGTGAAAGCTCAACTTTCGTGGAAATTTCCTCTCGACGTTGTTTTTGCAAGTCCGAAACCGGTCTTCGTGCCGACTGCGCTCGCTGAAGCCTTCTAGACTTTGAACGTGGCGAAGATTTGAACTCGTGCCTCGCCGACTTGATTTCGGGTGAGTTTTGTGCGTTTCGAGTACAGAGTCGTAAATCAATCGACTGCTGGAGAAATTTCTTCCCAAGCTCAATTTCGTCGTCAATGAGTTGTAACTCTTGTCTCGTTACTGGCCAATTACATCGTTGCAACGACTCCAAAATAGCACCTCGGTCTGTTTCCCAATTGGGCGGGATGTTACTATAACCCTGTTTTTCCATATAAGGCAATCTTTGCCATATATGGAAATCCAGTTTGCGGTAATATGTCTGAATCATTTCAGTCAGTCGTGATTCGTAAGACTTCAAATCAACGGCGGCAGGATTTACGAGGTGAATCTCGTTTTTTTGACGAGTTGTGGCGTAAGAAATTGGCAAAATTTCGTCAAATACTTTTGACAAAACTACTTTATCGATTGAAGGTACGAACATTGGTTTTTGTGTTATGAGCGTCTTTGAAAGGGCGTCTATAATTGTTAGTCTTTTGGCCACTAAGCTATTAGACTTTAACCAGTCTCTCAACGATTCTTCAGTTTCGTCTTGATAAACACTTCTTGGCGTCTTCTGCATAAGTTTTTTGTTTTGCGCTTGAGTCAAAACATTGTCGGCTAATTTGAGCGCTTCGTCTCTTCTGACCTTCTGCCGTTCGAACATCTTCTGTGTTTCTTCCAATATCCAATTAGCTTTACTACTACCTGGAATCTCGAATTCTGATTCCAAAGATTGAGTTGTTGACCTGGCCGAATTTATTGAGGAGGCATTTTCAGAGGAATATTGTTTCATTGTCTGAAGGGTCTTTCTCATTAAGTCCAGCCGTGGCGAGTCGTGTTCAAGGGATCTCGTCATTTCATGCTCGGGGTCAATGACCTTGAACTTACGAGGAGTCCCTAAAAAGGTTTTATTCTCTGCTATTGTTTTTTTTTAATAACTTTTTCATTTTTTGATTGGGGTCAAACTGGTATCCAGTTTTTTTTTACCTCTATGACTCATACTGCCGATAGAGGATCCCGAACTCATCTCTCGTGTAGTCCTCGGAGTCCTGCTAGTCGTGACTCCCCTCTCTACTCGGCCATCCGACTGCATCTCGGGTTTCACCCACTCCATCGTCGCACACTCGGCTCTAAGTTTGGCCACTAGCTTCAGACTCTGTTTGCCCTTGTCAAGTTCTTGGCGGAGAAGAGTTAGATCCTCACTTTGGAATCCCTAGATTTCAGTTCTTTTTATATCGTTAAAAACTTGATTCCGTTTTTTCTCAACGAAAACGGTCTCAATTTAAAAGAATTGCAAAACCAAAATAGCTTTGAAATCGTTTTTGAAACGTAATGTGCACAAAAAAAAATCCTCGCCAATTACCCGTTGTGAGGTCTTTTATCCGCAAAAAAGCATGAAAAACCGGAAAATAATTTTTCCAGGATTTGTTTTTCATTCATTCTGACCAACCTTTGTATATTGTTTCAGTTTAAAATTTAATTGACGATATTATTTATAAGAAAAAATCAAAAAGTTGTTTTCATGTTCAGTCATGATACAAAACGATGTGAGGGTTTTTATAGCTTTATTTATAACAACTACAACTGCAAATTTTTAAATTTCTCAGGAGCATTAGGTAGACAGGTAAGACTAGGCCTGGGAGGACAGCAGTCCTAAGATCGAGTCTAAGTAGTTTTTTGTCGAACGGTAAAAATTCCGCTTCAAACAAATTGTTGACCTGCTGTCTGTCAGCTGGTGTTTTGTCGGCTTTACCACAAAACGGGTTTTACATGTGGTGTAGGAAAGTTTTAGTGTAATTAAAAGCAAGGGTGTTTAAATAATTCAACCATTTGTAAATTTACTGAAACTGGTTTTTTGTAGTTACCTTTTTTTGCTCGTTGTTTGAACGGAAACTTAGATTTTTATTGTTTTGTGTTTCTAGAAAATTTTCTCTCAAATAACATACCATTCCAGGCAAAAAATTGAAATTTCCGTAGTTTTGTATTTGACAGCTTGCAATGCTTCCTTTGTGTAAGCCAATAATACAATGACACGGCCAAAAAGATACTATGTTTAGTTTAATCTGGTTGCCCTAATTTGCTAGCCATACAAAATTAATATAATAAGAAAATGTTAGTCATACTTTTCAAGCGTTTCTATAAGTACAGAAAATTACATGAAAGGTCTATGATTAAAGACTTTTTTATATACGGAATTTATTTGAATAGAATTTTTCCAAAAATCGAAAATTTGATTTTTCCGTGATTAATTCTGAAAACTATTATTGGGCGGACGCTTTTTCCCTCAGGGATTCGACTACCTGCCGACCCAAAGGGTCCCCCCTTTGGTACTTTTTAAGAAAACCATTTTTGGCCGACCGACCCTAAAATTTTTCTTAAGGCGCCTTCAGCGCCAATATATAATAATTTTTTGAGGGGGAGCACACGCCAATAAACGCAATTTTTTTGTCAAAATTTTTCAAAAAGTGCCCAAAAACGGCTAAAATTTGCCTGCGGCGCAAAAAGTTTGGCAAAACAGAGTCTTTTTAGTGTGCTTTAGTGCTTTAGGAGAGCTCGGAAAATCAATTTGGTCAACCTAAAAAAAACAAGGTTGTCAAGTTTTTTTGAAATTTTTTTGAAAATCTGCCTTCCCCCTCGAGAAAACCCTAGATCCGCCCTTGGTTGTGTTCATAGCCAAAAACAATTAACAAAGACCTTGGTTTACTCAAAACCAGAGTCACCAAAAGTTAGACAGTCTTGCATTTTTAAGGGCGGCAAGCTGAATGGTTTTAGGAATTGTCAATAGGAAGCAAACTGAATTGTCTTAGAACTGTCCTTCACAATTGATATTAGGCAAATATCAACCTTTTCAATTCTCGCAAAAATTTTCAAAGATGAAATATTTAAAATTTGAACTTTCAATTAATCAAGCATTGATCAAGGCATATGTACACATGCCATACAAAATAAAATAGACGTTTTGAAAGGTTTTGGAAAATGTTATCCACATAAACGAAAAAAAAAAGAAAAACAATTTTTGTGTATCCAGGGTTGCCTTATTCACACAAAAATTTATATTTTGCATGCAGAATAAACGTTTCGGAAATTGTATGTTTGAATACAAAACTCGTTTTGCGCCTGAAAATAATTTTTTTGAAGTGAGCAATTTTGAAACTACTTCAAGGAAAAAATTCTTTGAAAGTTGAAGGACACCATTTTAGCAAAATATATGAAGTTTGAATGATTAGTATTTTTCATAGTTAATAGAAATGTATGATTAGCATTTTTGGTGAGGTGTCTTCCCTAATTTTTTTTGAAATTCATTTTGATTTTCATTGGGATATATATGCGCTCCCCCTCCTCTCAGGCATTCAATCAGTCTGACTGTCCAAAAGGTCCCCCATTTGGTACTATTTTACGACATTCACTTTTAGCCGATCAGCCATAGTGTTTTTCTAAATTATATATACTTATTTTAAGGAGGAGGGGGGGGGCAGCGCCAAAAAAAGGCATCCTTGGCATTTTTCTAAAAAAATTGACTGCGGCGCAAAAAGATACTGCAAAATGCCGTTAATGGTTTTTCAGAGAGCTCAAAAATCAGTTATTTCAACCTAAAAAGTTTGACTACTTAGTTGAAAATAATTTGAAAACTCGCCCTCGATCCTTGAGAAAGTCTTAAGTCCGCCCTTCATCTGACGATCTGAGCAAAGAAAACTAATAGAAAAAAATCTCAAACTTTTGATTTTACTTTTGCGTGACGAACAAATCAGATATCAACGGTACGAACCCTAGGAACGTCGGCAGGAGTCCTGGAATCATAGAAGATATGGAACCTTCCTCCACTGATGTTTGCCAATTCCTTCAGGAACTCGTTGGCATCTTTGTCGTGGCAGTTGAATGAGATTGTGTGAATTGGAATTCGAGGGTGCATACATGCTTGTGCATAAATGGATTTGGGAAGTTGGTCTGGTCTTCCGTCGGATAAAAGGTAAACGGCTTCCGTGTTTTTGTCGCTCAGAGCTACCTTCACGGCTCCCAGAGTGTTTGTAGAACCCCCGGTTTCAATATCCTGATGAAAAAAGTGTTAAAGCTCGTTTTAGAAAAAACGAATTGACCTTGTGTAAATGATCTACTCACCCTGACCCAGTCCCATGCCTGTCTGAGATTCTCCTCGCTGACATCAACCAGTGCGTCTCTCCATGCCTTGACATGACTGTCGAATGCTACTATGTTGAACATGACCTTGTGTCTGAGTTGTTCCTGTTTCAGCTGGAACAACTTCTCCTTTACCATCAGCAGTCTGGACTCCATGGAGGCACTGGTGTCCACCAAAATGTACACTCTAAGAAACAATAGAGAATTCTGATCTCTTTAACAAGATTTGGACGGATTGAGGGATAATTTATCACGCTAGCCACCCAACGGGTCTCGTTTTAGTACTATCAGGGCGGATTTAGGAGGAGGGGGATTGCGGACGCCACCCTCAGGGAGTCAACCCCCTGACTACCCAAAGAGTCACTCTTTGATACTATTTTGCATAAAATCTTTTTGTTGTTTCAAGCGAGCTCGAATTTTTTTAGAAAGATTGAAAGATTGAACCTTCAATAATGAAAGATTGAACCTTCCTATGAAACCTGATTGAAAATCCGCTCTTCGTCGGTAAATAAATCCTTGATATAACCCTTTATTGACATACGAGCTGTACAGCTCTTTGAAGAGAACCGCAATTTTGTCACTGATTCGGACCATAACCCAATATTTATAGTTTTTTGGGCTGGAAAGGTTTTCTGACCTTCAAGTATCGAGCAACTTCCTCTAAGGATTCAATGTTCATTGGTATCCAACGGACCCCAAAAAAGGCTGATGTCATAAATGCGCAAGACCTGGCATGCGTTTAGCAAAGTGTGAAGTAGGGCTCTTTCAATGTTTCAGGAGAGGGCGGAAACTGAACTTGCTTTTAGAGCGAAAGCGTTTTTCAACTCTCGTAAAAGTTCTAGAGCCGCTCCCACCTAATTTCATGCAATGGATATTAAATAGTCTATGCTCAATCTTGTAATTATGAAGTCTGATTTTTAAGTCTATGATCGAAACAAGGGTTGGAATGATCGTAACATTGTGTTAGAATTGTATTTCTTCAATCTCACTTGTTTTCACAGACAGTTCCGAACAGTTCCCGACTGCCTTGGCACAGCCACGAGATCCTATTGGAGATCTGTCTCAGTGTCGAGTTCATTCGAGTCTCGTAGTCTCTGAACATCTTTCCCGTCACTTGCACGTGTCTTACTCGCCCATCTTTCCACAACACATGCACGAAGTTCTCACAGTACTTGGCGTTGATCAGTTTCTTCGAATCGACGCCTGCCAAAAATCACTTTTAAAAAATAATTTGAAAAAAAAAATAGCGAATCATTTTATTTGCAATGATTTTGGAACATACAGCAAAAAAAATAGGGATCACTTTACATGTTATTGGACAAAATTGTAGCTATGCTTTAAATTACTGTTCTTTACGAACTGGAACATTTAAGGTGCGTGTTGTTTTATACGCTTAAAAACCCTTTGCTTTAAAAGCGTGCTAGAAGCCGGAACACAATACTGAAACAAAACCTGCATTAGAAATATAGTCGACTTTAAAGTTCATCTGTAAAAGTTGAGCTCAAGTTGTTGAAGGCGGAGAATTTCGATTGTTTTTCAAAATAACAAGGATATCCGGTTGCTGCGAATATGAGAAAATGATTTTTGTTTGTTTGACTATTTTTTTCTAGGCGCTCGTCCAAGAATTAGGTAATTATGGCTAAATTAGTTTGAGCAGTTTAGTTGAATAAAACGTTGGGTCAATTAGTCTGAAAAACGAAAAAATTTGGACCAGTTTTTTCTCTCGACAAAGTCAATTTTTTTCATTCTTTGCTGGATCCGAAATCACGACTAGTAGATTTCTCGAGATCCAAAATCACGACCAAGTGAGATTAACATGACAACACACATGGCCCTCAAAAACTTTTGTTGAGCTTCGCAAAATTGGGCTGAAAAAAAAACATCCTAAGCCATAGCTCCTTCCTGTCACTTCGTGACGTGTTCGGAAGATAAAGCTAACTTGTCATGGCTCTCTTATTTTCTTTGTCACTTTGGCTATGGTCCAGATTAGGCACCACCCCGTCACAGTGTCTAAATGCCACTCCTCCAAGGAACGTGTAAAATTCCAGACCCCTATTGCGGATTCCATTTTGCAATAACCAAGTCTTGGAATCCATGTATTGCATGTCTGCATACCGGGGCTTCGGTTCCTTCTCGGATCTCGCCGATGTTAGGGATCCAAGAGAACTCAAGCTTTGACCCAATGATCCGAATCCAGAGTCAGTGCCTGATGATTTTACTGATTCGGTTTTGCGAGACAGTTTTCTTTTTTCGGTTGTTTTGATGATGTGTTCTAGTTGGTCTACGATGTCTCGTGCGTTTTCAAGCTCCGTCCAAATTAGCATCAGTTCATCTGGCATACCGGCGCCTAGCAATCAAACAATCATCTATTGCAATCGCCAACCAGTGCGGCAAGTGCGGTTACTTTTTTAGGGTACCAAACTGATTTTCTGATTTTCTCCCAAAACATTATTAAGACGCCTAATGGCTTAAAATATTTTTGCTGTTTTTTCGGCACTCTCTCACCGCAAAATTGTGAATATTGGCTCCAAATGCAACTTTAGACAATGTTAAGGGTTGGTTGGCAGAAAAAGAATATCGTAAAATAGCACCAAAGAGGGAACCTTTGGAAAAGGTTAGCAACCAGAACTGAAAAGAGAGCGGTTGCTACTGTCCTCAAATCTTTCTCATAAAGTCAAAAATAATCATCCCCGTCCCACGCCTGTCTGTGATTGATTGCACACCGATGCTGGCCTGTTAATTTGCTCGATAAAGATTAAATTAGGAAACTTTAGGAACCTTTGCGAATTTTATTTTCAGAACTCACCGGGCGGAGTGCCCCCGTAATAACTGATCTCCCCCGTCAAAGAGTCGACATCCGTCTCAGTGACGGAGTAGGCGTGGAATCTGCCCCCCTTTACACACCCACTCAATTCCCTCAGAAAAGACACTGTGTCTCTGTCTGTGCTGTTGTAGGCCACTGTGTGTAGTGGCTTCCCAATTAAGGTGACCCTGGATTTGAGGATCTCCCTGGTACCGTCTGTGGCTCCATTTTCAGTAAACAGGTACACGCCTGAACCAAAAATAATCATTTGGAATGAGGAACAAATTATTATTTTTTCTCTCTTCTAAGTTTTTATCTAATACCAGCAGCGAAACTTATAGCGATATAGTTTATCCTCGAATCAACTGTTTGGCTCTTACAAAAATAATCTGTGAAAAAAACTTTCAGGTTTATTATTATGAGATCCTTTTTGTTCCGAATATTGAAAATAAGGAGGAAGTTTGTATTCGGGTGTGTTTTAGCATTTTTTCCACACAGTGAAACCCTTTTAATTGTGATTTGGCCAATACTTAAATTTTAAAAATTTTCCCAGTTTTGAGAAAAACTTGCTTAAAACTTTAATTTTATAGTTCAATTTTGTGCAAATAAAACGAGCGAACAGGCTTACAATAGCTTGTTTATGCTCTATTTAAGCCCTGAAAAAAATAATTTAAGTAAAAAGTAAAATTATTTTTTGCGCCATCTTCAGCGCCATTTTAGGAAAAAAAAAATTCAAAATGCAAAAAAGAAAGCAAAAAAAACTTAGAAATAGTTAAGAAAATATATATTTTTTAAATTTTCGAATCATTTTTCTACAACAAATCTTTTCTGATTTGCCTGTTTTACTATGACTATCGAACATGCCTAGCTTCGAGTTTAGCGTTCAGATCCTTTTTATCCCAGTACGCAGAAATACTACACTAATCGGAATTGTAAGAATGATATTTCAAAATAGAGCCCTTCGAGCCTTGATGCAAATAACATTGAAAAACTTCCAAAAGTTTGCCTCAGTAACTAGCGAGTAGAGCAAGCGAGCAGACTTTATACAGAAAGATAGGCCATAAAAATTTAGTTTTACTCTTGTTAAAATTTTAGTTTTTTTTAGCGCGGTTTTGGGAATAAAAAGTTCATTGATTCAAAAAAACCTCTGCCGAAAAAAATTGAAAAAAAAATCTGGTTTGTTGTTTTCCTGTCTTTTTTGAGAAAAAATTAAAGCCCAGTTTGCCGGCTTTACTGTGATTGTCGGATATAACAAAGCTCTTGGTTTTCGTCAGATCCATTTATCCACCATGCACAAAAAACGACACTAATTTGAAGAAAAAAAATTCGTGTTTGTTTTAAGAATATGGTGGAACATTCTGTGCTAATTACTCGGCAACTGGCTATACTTGTTTGTATTTTAAAAACAGTACCAAGAATAGGCTACTTGCCCAACAAACGATGAAAATAACAAACAAAAAATGAAAATCAACTGCATATATTGATCTGAAAAATGAATTTGACAGATAAACGAATGTTTCTCGATAAACACTCTCTTGGTTATTTTTTAAAAAATTTTGGATTAACTGATAGCGCCACGTTGATTTTTTCGAGCGACATTCTCTTTCTCTTACCATATTTTAGGTTCGGCGGCTGTGCCAAACTGAACGCCTTCGCTACTCCTTCAACTACACACGTATTAGTGTTCAGAGAATATCTGTCCATATTTTTAACCCACTGGAGCGCCTCATTGATCGATGAATTGTTGACGTCTACGAAACACTCTTTAAAACACTCGACATCTTGGCCGACTTTAATCAAATTAAACTTCTCGATTTTCGCAATCTGATCATTCAGAAGTTCCTCCAAAGCTTTGACATATTGATCGTATCTTATATCATCATAAGTGTGAACGTTTATAATGATCGAAACGCATTTTTCATGAAGGACCCCGAAAAATTTCCGGGATCCCGAAGTTAGCCATTCCATTCGGTTTTTGTAAACACGAATTGCCGCATTGAGTTGCTGGATAAATTGTTGCAACTTTTGGGTATCTGCAATTAAGTTGAAAACTTTTCCATCTTTTTGCATGTACTGGTCGAAATAACCCTCGCCATATTTGGACGAAACGTTTTTCTTCACGCCATCATCGTAGCTCGTACTGTGTTTGAACCCGTTGAAAGGTAAAATATGCTCCAGTGAAAGCTTATTGGCTGATAATCCGTAAATTTTCAGCCAATCAGAACTGCTGATCATGACGTCACTAAGGGCATCGCAGGACATCAAAGGTCGTTCCCGCCTCTGCGCCGACTTTGAAGCGCTTTTGTACGTCAAATTCCGAGGTGACAAATGTCCGATGTCAAATCGGGCCTTTCCTTTTTGAGGCGCGTTCATTTGGTTTGATGGTTGCATTTTTAAAATACAACATTGACTAGTAAAGCCGTATTGTCTTTGTCTAGTCAAGGCTGGATTAACAATAAAATGCTATTTTTAATAGGGAAGGATTTAACATCAAATAAAAAAGATATATAGATTATTTCAGGATAAACTAGCAGATACACAGGTATTAATATGATTTCAAAAGCAGTCAGCGTGTAAAGATGTTTAAAAATTGAAGTATTTTGTTTTTTGACAATAAACGCAAATACTCGCCGGCTAGAATCACTGGAGCAAAAAACGTGCAGCACGGTAATAAAATAGAGCAAGATTTTATTGGCAGCATGTTAAAATGAGCATAAAAACGTTTTTATCTTCTCAAACCAATATGAAAGTGACTTCAAATTCAACTGAAAAAGCATTGTAACAAAGCATTGAGCAAATAAATTTGAAGTGATACATAAATGCCACGAATTTAATTTTAAAAAGCATTTGTTTTGTTACCAAAGCAGATGTTTACTTCTCAGAGTGGAATATTATGGAAGTTTAATTAACTGCTTTTCAACAAAAACTTGGAAAGGTGCCCATCAATATTAATGTAATTTAGGGAGGCTCACAACTTAAATTTAATATATCAAAGAGAATGTCAAATTGAAAAAAAACCATCACAAGAAACAAAGCAGCAAAAAATCGATAAATTACAACCAAAAAAATGAACAAACCAAAAAAGTATAAAGTCTGCTTGTATGAAAACAAACTCCTGAGAGTTTCTATTGCCTTATAATATATCTGATGTCATTTGAGGCAAAATCAGAAAACTTTAGGAGAAAATTTTTTTTTTTAAATTTCTTAAACCTTCCCCATACACGCATAAGCTGCAAATTTATATCGCAAGTTTTTTATAGCAATTCCCAGCTGTAACCTAATGGTGTGCTAGCTTAAGAGCATACTGCAAAACTCAAAGTTTGATGCTAGATTTTTGATGCATCAGATAACTCGCACTGAAGTTTCATGGCTAATAGTCGATTATATTGAACTTTCTTGGACAGTCTGTCTAAAGTTAAAAATTAATCGATTTTAATCGATTTAAAATGGAGTATAATCTATGCTTTTTATCTCAATATAATCTATAATAATTGATTAAAATGGATTTTTTTCGGAGAATATTGATGAAGTTTGCAACTTTTCTTAAGGTTCTCTGATTTCCTATCTAGTGCACTTGCTATGTTTTACGTTTCATGAACTTTTACTTTTCAAATAATTTTTTTTTTCGATTCTAAGTTTTCTCTAATTTTTCAGTTTGGCAGTTTAAAAGATAATTTAATTATTTTTATCATCACCATGGTAAAAAGTGCCATTCGCCCACTTTTAGTATGGCCATTCACTCGTTTACCCCCTTCCACTCACGTTCAAGTAATGGTTGAACGGGGGGGAGAGGGGGGTTCACTCATTGTAAACCCCACAACCCCTCTTCTAATCCCCCTCTCTTCTCAGTTCCCCCTCCCCAGTTTGCCCCTCCCAGCTTACTCTCCCCAGTTTACCCCCCCCCCCACCCAGTTTTATGCTGGGGGATTTACTAAACTTGGAAGGAGATAATCAGTAGTGTCACAAGCTAAAAAGAACCAGAAAAAAAAACATGAGTTTATGAAAAGATTTCGTTTTTTGTTTCATGTTGTTTAATATTCAGTTCCAAATTTATTTTTGACGCATCATAGTTTCGGAGAAAAAGTGCAGGGAAAACAATTTTTCAGCGGAAAACATTAGATTTCAATAGAAAAACCATCAATGATAATGGATTAATTTAATTTAAAAAAATGATTGTACTCAAGTAAAAATGGAACTAAGATTTAAAACTGTCAACTGTCAAGTGTAATCGATAGTAGTAGATGTTGAGGCTGAAGTGGGGGGTGGGGGTGCATGGCGGACCCCATGTATTAAGATACGTTATAGATTTCCGGTCCGCCATGCTATGTATTAAGATTGGGTATAGAGTCTACAACGTATTAAGATAGGGAATACCGATGGTAAGGTTTTATGGTTTGTGTGATGGTAAGATAATGGTAAGAAAAACGTTTTTTTTTTCGTTTTTGAGTGAAAATGTTTATTTTTTTCACAAAAATGTTGGCGCGCGTTAACTAATTTGTAAATATCAAAGATTAATTACGTGTAGGCTGTGTAAAGAACGACTTTTAATTAGTTTTTTGGTACTTGGTAAGTCAATTATAAGAATTTTTGGGTAAAAACTTAGAATTTTTATGAAAAAATTTTCAAAAAACTTCAAAACACGATAAGATTAGCTTTTATTCGACTTAATTTGTTAGATAATCTTATTTTATCTACTTGAAAAAATGCTGAAAACTACTGAAGTTTCAAAAAAATTTGCAATTTTTGAGAAAAAATTGCAAAAGTTTCAAGTATTTGGAAAAAATTGCAGAAATCTCATAATTTTGGCTAATGTATTGTTGCTTTTGATCTAGTTTTAAACATAATTTTACGTATAGATTTTAAAAATAAGCTAAGACTGTATTTTAATTGGCATTATGTTGAGACAATGATACAAATTTTTGAATAAAACTATGACTTTTTCCACAATTTTTTCTCAAAATATGAAAATACGATAAAGTTTACCTTAATTTGAGCTAAATTTTTGGTTATAAAATGCTCTAAGCTTTGGAAAGAAGGTTCATAGTAGCAGAATCAATATTGAAACTTCCGGAAAACAGTGAAATTAGTCGTCATTTTCGAGAAGGTAAAGTAAAAATTAATCAAATTTACCCAAAACTTTCCATTTCGAGCCTTTTATTTTGGTTCTTAACTGTTTTTTTTGTCCAGTTCAGGAAGCATTTTTAGGAATCTCAATTCAAATGAATATTAAGAGCAATATTCCATGAAATTTCTAGATCAAACTCCATGATTCAACTCCTCCTCATTTTTTTTCATTGAATTACCCAAATTTGTACAAAAATTACGATTTTTGGGTATTCTTGCTTTCTGTTTAATACATGTTTTTGCTATTGAACACACTTTACAAGAAAATTTAGTCAAAACTGGAGAATTTAGGAGGAAAATAGTATCAATTGAACGAACAATTTGCTGGCAGAGATGTAATTGGAACTCATACCGTATGATTATTAAAATAAAAATTGTAAATTTCTTCCTAAAGGTTCCCCTGTTCAGTTGCTACCGTAAACCATTTAAGCAAAAACACAACTTTTGGGATTAATAACTATCACTTTTCTTGCAAAATAGTTATTAACTTGCTTTTTATTCTTAATATATGACGGAAGTTTTCTCAAAAATATCCAAGTGAGAAAGAATTGGTACTAGTTAAAGTATTCAAAAACAAATGTAAAAAAATGAGAATATAAAGGTGTATTTTAACGATTTAAGATCAAATTAAGAGCAGGTCTATTAGTTATAATCTGAAAATCTCCAGAAATACGCAAGGGAACCTAGTTCCTAAAAAAAAAAAAAAAAAAAAACTTCTAAAAGAGTGAGTCTCCAAAAATTGATTTAGCAAAGCAAATCAAGGTGCAAACTGAAACAATTGCGTAATTTTCCGATTTTTATTAAGAAAAAAACTCTATATAGTAATGTATTGTATATAGTGTTGCATATTGTATGTAGTATTGTGTATGTATGTAGTATTGTGTATTGTATATAGCAAAGAAATGTTGATCTTGAAAGCAAGTTTTCGATTTATGATTTATGTATCATCTTCCAAAAGATCTCAGATTGGGTTTGCTTCACAAAAATTATCCTCAAAATATTTGATTTTTTATATAAAGTACCTAATATATCAAATGATTACAAATTTTTCTAATGCATTACGCATAAATACAAAACTTTGAGAATTTTTATGTCGGATTTTTTCTCAAGATATACTTTATAAGCTAATTTTTAGTAAAATTATCTCAGAACTCCTAGGAAATAAACTGATTTTCTATCTCATTTTAGCATCTTCTCAGATTCTGCTTCATCTACTATCTACCAAATGAAACCAATTTGAACCAATTTTTACTTGAAAATTGAATTTTAGATGGAAAAATAAATCGTTTCAACGAACAATCAACAATCCGAAGCAGAAAGAGTACCATAAATCCTTTGCTTAAATCTTTAAATGATTTTCTCAATTTCATAACTGTATATTCATGACTAGAGTATGCATTTCTATTTTAGAGTAAATTTTTAGTTGAGAACAATGTATATCATTATCTTGAAACTTTCAAATTTTAGCAAAAACATACATTTTTTTCCAAGTCATTTATCAATTTTTTCTGAAATCATCAAAAAACCAATAGAAAAGCATAATTCCTAATAAGTCAAAACACATTATCTGCTTAAAAAGCTCTACTCTATGAACACTTTTACAAGCACTAAACAAGGAAAACTTTAAAATAGTAACTACAAAAAACCTTTAAATTAGTTGATGTTTTACAAATATCCAAGTTTTACAATTTTTAGGCAAATACTTAAATACTCATTAGCAAATTTTATGCACTTTACTACAAATTTATCACAGCAAAGTCTCCGCAAGTTTGTAACCAAGGGAGTTTTTACTGTTGATAAAAGGTTTTCGGATCGAGTTCCATGGAAAGTTTCACGACAATTTGAACTCAATTTTTGCTGTCTTTAACATCAATCGAAACCTTTGAAAAAAAATAAATGACAGCTCAGGTAATGAAATGAAAACACTGTATATTTTCTGACTAAATTTTTAACAATTGTTTAAGCTTTTCAGATTCAGTAAAACTAATATTCATAGTAATTTCTTTGTTTTTAGAATAAAATTAAAAAATTTACCTTCTCTTGAAGTGTGTTTGGAGACTGCTGAGCAAATAAATTAACATTATGTTGACAATGCTTCTTCTTGAAATGATTAGTGAGTTCCTCGCTACTGTAAGTATAAAAGTTACAGTTAGAACATTTCAAAACACCACAGGTTCTACGATGTCTTGATGCGTCTTTACGTGTGTAATCTCTGCCACATTTAAGACATGCAACTCTTTCGTTTCTATTCAATGACGGAATCTCAATAGTAAAGAAAAATCTAATGGGAGATTTAAAATGAACCAAATTTTTACTTAAAAGAGTTGAATAGACTCAAAAAATGAATAAAAATGAATAAAAACAGCAAACTTATTAACCAATTGTTTTTAAGTGAAAGAAAATCAGAATGGATATGCAATCATCCAATCTAACCAGGGAGTTTTCAAAAATATCAACCAATCAGAATCGAGCATTCATTATAAGGAAATTTTTATCTTTTTTGATATCAACCAATCAGAATCGAGCTTCAATAGTCATGGAACTTTAAACAAATTTAATGTCAGCCAATCAGAATTGAGCTCTACTTCTCATGAATTTTTCAATAATTTTGATATCGTTT